TTTTAAAAAAAAAAAAAAAAAAAAAAAAAGGACCAATCAGGGACCAGGGCAGGCGCTGTCTCTATATAAGTGGTCCTCCCCTTGGTCTCAGAGGAACCACTTTCCATTTCCATTAGAGGCTGGGTTTTCCAGTTTGCAAACTGTTTATACCTGAGTAAAATGTGTCCTTTCCACCGCAGACTAGGACTCCTGTTGACAATGGATTGATGGCAGCGAACTCTTGTTGACACCACCTTGTACACTTCTCTACTGGAAAACTGGAAAATATTTCAATTTTGCACCTCCCTTATCAAACCTGTTTTTTGCCAAACCAGTGTTGCAGCTCCCCGCTCATCCTAGGGAGAGCCCTGCCATCTCGTGGTTGAAGATGTTAAGTGATAGAAAGGGATGCTAGGTCACAGCCAGTTCTGATTGGGCAAAAAAGAGCCTTCGCTTTTGTGGGGCAGTCCTCTTTCGAGGTTTTCGGGTCAGATTCCCCCTCTTCCGGATAAGCCCATTTTGAATAACAGCATAGACTTTACAGGAAGGAAAGAAAAATGGATTATTTATCTTTTTAAAAAGCATTACCAGCCCTTAGCGAGAGTTTCTGGTTCATAGTAGGCGCTCAATAAATGCTGTATACTTGCATTTCGAAGGAATCACTTTCTACACCATTTAACAGCAGAAATAGTGGGAGATTTTAATCCCTCGGGGCGGGGGCAACCAAACATTCTCATTCAGAACACAAAGGAATGGAATGAGGCCTTGGGGTTTGCTGGTACTTGGCGAGGCAAGCGCCTGCTTAAACTACAAGTCCCAGCATGCCTCGGGGCGGGCCCGGCGGCTGCGCGGAAGGGCGGCCGGCGGTACGTAACCTCAGCATGGCGGTGTTCGCGGATTTGGACCTGCGGGCGGGCTCGGACCTGAAGGCGCTGCGCGGGCTGGTGGAGAACGCCGCTCACCGTGAGTCGCCCTAGTTTCTTGGACCGCGGTGCCTGCCAAGCTGCGACGCCCCCCAGACTGTTGGGCCACGTTGGGGAGGGACCCGGCGCGGCCGGGCATCGTTCGGGCCGGGCCTCTGGGATCCCCTGAAGCTCAAGCCCACCGCGGTGTTGCTTGGGTCCCGAACGCGGGAGGTTCGAAGGCCGTGGGTAGCTGTTACCCATTCTAGCTCCTTCTTCCCTGCAGACTGAGGAAACCGAGGCCGTGTGGAGGTGGGAGGTTTGCATCGGGCCCCGCAGCTGATGGATGGTAGAAGCCAGGGCTTCCTAGTGTGATCGGAGATAACCTGTTTTAATTATTGGGACTAATCATTGTCGCTGGTTTCTTCCTTAGATGTGGGGATAGGGGAGTTTTAAAATAAAGAGGCGTCTGCAGGAAGATCCATTCTTCAGCTCTGAGGTCTGTGAGAGCTGGTAATGATGCCTTTCAGAGATGGTGCTGGATAAAGCCACCCTTTATCAAAGTGGATTTCTGCAGCATCCTTCTTGTCCCCTTCACGAACTGTCTGTCTCGAGATGACTTTCTCTTTCCATTGCAGCCACTCATTGGCACTGTCCCTCAGAATACTTCCCTCACCAGTAGAAAGGAGGTAGACATGATGATCTGGGCCGTTTAGCGCTCTATTTGATGGTTCCTTGAAACTCAGTTTTTCTGGGTGTAATTTGCTTTGTACTGCTTCCTTAATGAGTGAATCATGATATTCTTTAGAGAGGGGCCATGTCTTTCTATTTGTTCTTTTACTTATTTATTGTGCTCAGCACAGTCACTCAGCAGCCCTGGCGAAGCATGGTGGTTACTCAGTTAATGTTTATGGAATAAATTAATAAACTGTACACCTTTTTAAAAAAATACAGAGAAGTTATAATCATTTGTTTAGAAAATTGCCCCAATTTAATATATGCTTGAAGGAGATATGGTAAAGTGTATATATACGTTGTCACCCAATGTGTATAATTAAAATTAAATGAAAAGTCATGACATGATGGAAAGTCACTCCAGTTTTTTAAGTTAGAGGTAAAGGACTGCTGTTTGGTGAGTGGAAATTTTCAAACAATAGAGAAGACAGAGCCCTGGTTCTTAGTTTATGATGTGATGCAAGAAACCAATAAGCTTCAGAAATATGCTATATAAATAAAAGTTACACCAGAGACTGGTTGGAGAAGTAATCCTAAGGTGCCAGATGAGTAGTTTAAGAAAAGTTTGCGGAGAAATTGAATCTAGTTGACATTTCTGAAGGACAGCAGGGACGTTGTTTAGTGTCCAAAAGGATATCCCAAGTGGGTATAACAATAAGGCTTAGAGTAGACTTGGGAGCTTGCTAAAGAAGAATGGTGGTGGGGTGGTGTTGGTGGGGGTTAGTTGCTGTGACTGAGTGAAAGGTGAAGCACGAAGTATTGTACAGGCAGACTTCTCTTTTATCTTCTGGTTTTTCTGTATTCTCAATACTTGGCACACGGCCTGTCAAATAATGGATACTCAATAAATATTTGAGTGAGGAAGGAAAAAAGAAGTTAGACAAACTGATGAGAGGAAGGACCACTATTTTGGTATTAATATGCATTATTTAAAATATATATATATGTATTATGTTTTCATATCTTGTCATCCCCCCCCATTGGTATTTAAATAACTTGAAGATTATGATTTAGACGTACTTTTGGTAGTCCAAATGCCCAGAACAGTGCTCTGTGTTGAGGCCAATAGAGCAAGGCCCTGGCCTCAAAGAGTTCCCAATCATGATGGTGGACAGTGATGTGAGGGAGCCTTTACTCTATTTCCCCTTAGGAAAAAGGCCTCTGAAGGAAGTAGAAAGGGTAAAAACAAAAGAAATGAGTGATGGGGTGAAAATGAAAAAAGGAATATGAAAGAGAACGATCATTGGAAAGGAGACACACAAAGTTAAGGATGTTTAGTATCATGCTAATAATATATCACAGAGGCCAAACAAAACCTTAACTATGTTCCAGGCACTGTTCTAAAACACCCTACGTGTATTATCTCATTTCATTCTCATGACAGGTATACGATAAGTTCTGTTATCACCATTTTAACAGATGAAGAACCTGAAACTTGTAATCGGTAATGCTTAGATCTGAAAGCAGGCAGTCTGACTGGAGCCCATACCCATACCACTCTGCAAACTCCCTCCTAGTCTAGAATTGGGGTGGCTCTATATGTACAGGAAAGAAAGATTGTTATATTTAAGAAGAATGTTCCATTTTTCTTTTCAGTTGGCTATTCAGTTGTTGCCATCAATCACGTTGTTGAATTTAAGGAAAAGAAACAGGTAAAATACAATTTCTGAAGTTAATAATAACCAGTTTTTATAACTATGTTTATATTTGTAATACTCAACCTACAGATAAGCATATTTTCTTGCAGTTCTTTAAAATGCACTCTCTGTGCACTATTTTTAATTTATAAGAGTTGAGTTGATGCATATTTGTGCAAATTATTTTTTGTGTAGTACTAGGGCATGCTGTGAGGATTCTTAAGGTTGATTTGATGTTAATTAAGTCACTCAATAAAGTCACTTTTAAAAAATTTCATTGTTATTGACTGACTATAATCACAATATTTAATTTTTTTAAATTATCTTTTCTGCAAACCCCTAGTAAATTTTCCATTATGCTTTGTCCCATTAACATGTACAATCTAGGGTGACTGTTTATTGTTTGTTGTAGGAAATTGAAAAACCAATAGCTGTTTCAGAACTCTTTACAACTTTGCCAGTTGTACAGGTAGGTGTTTTGTTGTTTAAGAAGCATAATAACCTATTCATTCAGTGCAGACACGCCCAGTGATAGGTATGGTTCTCTGCCCTGCACTGCCCCTTCCTCTGTCTACTATTCTTATTGATTGTGGGAGTGGAAGGGGAATGGGTGGGGGTGGAAGGGGGCATAGAAGGAATACATGGTGATGGAAAAAATAAATTTAAAAAATTTTACATAATAATATGGGGGGAAAAAGACTCAGCTCTTCCATGAAACATTCTCTTACTATTGATTCCATACTTCTTTTGGTAATCTTCTTTCCTGAAGTCCTACAGCCTTTAAGTTATCTCATTAAGTAGTTTAACATAAACGTCTTTTTTCTCTAGCTGTATTATAAATTCTTTGAGAATGAAGACTAGGTTTTACTGATCTTTATTACCCTTATTGCTGATACCTTTAATGAATACTTCCACTGGTAAAGAGGAAAATCAGTCATTTGTATTTTGTGCTTTTTTAATGGCATGTTTTTTATTATAGGGAAAATCAAGACCAATAAAAATTTTAACTAGACTGACAATTATTGTTTCTGATCCATCTCACTGCAATGTTTTGGTAAGTTAATTATCTTTCTACCCTCTTTTTGTACTTGCAAGTTGTATTGGTTAATGTTGAAAGTATTTTTTTTCAACTTACCCTATTCTTACACTCCTACCCCCCCATGAGTGACACCTGCCTGCTCTCCCTGTCCTCAGAATTCACATAATATAACAGAATCTCTTCTATTCCTAGCACATGTACAGGGATACCACAATATACGAGTCCTTGGGCAACTTAGTCATTGAACTCCCATGACCCAGACATAAGGTGGATGTTGCAGATAGTGCTGTGAATAATACAGACATAATCCTTTTAAATCTATGAGGAATATCTAAAAAGGGGGAGGTAGTAAAGAAAGGAGACTCTGGGGGCCAGTCTGAGGAAGTTGATGTTCAAGGTGGGCCCAGAAGAATCAGTAAGTGTTATACAGGTGCTGAGTTGGGGGGAGAGTGTTCCCATAGACAAGATGGATTATGCAAAGGCTCTGAAGCCAAGGAAAACATGGTGTGTTCTGGGAAGTGAAACACCACCACTAGGGTTGAGCCTACTGAGCTGGCTAATCTGGGATGAGGTTAGGGAGGTTGGTCTAGGTGAGTGGATCTTAACCAAGGGAGGTTTGCATTATAGAGAATGGATCAGAGGGCCTAAGGAGGGGATTTGAGAGGTATCCAGATGGGAGGATTGATGGGGTTTGACGGTTGATTGGATATAGGATGGTGACTCCCTGGTGTGGCCTGAGCAGCCAGATAGGTAGATGGTGGTACCATTTGATGAGGTGGAACATACAAAGAGAAGCAGGTTTGGGGGCATAGCATTTGAGACATGATGGGTTATTGTAAAAGTTCCAGTGGATCCTATCAAATGGCATTTGGAAAGAAAGGCATTGCCCTCAGAAGAGCGGTCCTAATCAAAGATACTGACTTGGAAGCGGTCGCCCTGTAGAAAATAATTGAAATCACGGGCGTGGATGAGACTCCCTGGTCCAAGTGTGATGTGGGAAGAGGAGGTCTGGGACGGAGTCCTGAGGAGTTTCAGCATTTAACGGTAGAGGAGGATAGGATTGGAAGCTGAGGAGGGACTTTCTGAGAAGTAACACAGCAAGCAGCATGAAGGGGAAACAGGAGAAAGCATCCGTGTGCCTGAGTAGTCAAGCAGGCCGAAGGCTAAAAGATGTCTGTTGGGTCAATTGACAGGAAAGCAAAAACCAATTTTATGCAAATGATAGGGATGTGAGAAAACGCAGTCAGTATGAGAAATTGGACTCCTTGGGGGAACAAGGCATAAGGAGGTTGGTGGATGAGAACCTGCTGTACAGGTTTTGTTTGTTAAATGGGAGAGACTTGACTATGCCTACTGCTGATAAGAGGGATCTAGTGGGAAAGAGAGAAGGTGAGATCCCTGGGAAGGTGACCTGTTTTTAGCTAGAATAGATTCCTCTATCATAGAAAAGGAGTTATCGAGGAAAGGCTAGCCTCCTTTATAACAGCATTGCTAAAGTTGTGGAAAGCCAATTTCGGTATTTTATACAGCTGCAAGGCAGCTTCTGGTTTTGTAGGCCCAGGTAGACAAATGGAACTGATTTTTTTTTTTTTAAATAGATTACAAAGACTTCTGTTTACTATTGTTATTATGAACATCCTGGCCCTTTTTTGTGCCCTTCCCAAGTGGTAGTGGGCAAGCAGAGGGCAGAGGATCCTGGATCCTGGCTTTCTCTAAAATCTGGAGCCTGCCCTGTCTCAGTACACGTCTGCCCAACAGGCCTTCTTACATGCTTAAACACAGCACCTGCTACTGCTTTTAAACCTTCCTCTTCTCAACTTTTTATTATGCCTTTTCTTTTTTACAAAATAAGAGATTGTAAACATTTAGAAAGTGCCAACAAGCAAACAAGAAATACCACACATTCTGTCATTCAGAGATTGTACATTTGAAGATATATTTTTCCAGTCTTTTCACATACATACACATACAATATAAGTTTGAAATTATCTTTTTTAAACAATAACTCTTTAACTGATATAGTTCTCTCTTTCTGTCCTTGGATTTTCAGATATTTTCCTGCACATCTAGCAGTTTAATTTCTATTTATCAATATTCTCTTTGTGAACCTCACACTTAGTCAAGTATATTTCTTGTCTCCCAACAAAATTGTGAATTCCATGAAGGGCAGACATAGGCCTTAGATGATTCTGTACCCCTCATGTTCTGCACACAGTAGGTACTCAGTCAATGTCTGACAAACTGCACTAGCTTGTAAAGCAAGGGCTATCTAATTTGATTTTTGGGTCTCAAACACAATGCTTGATATACAGTTAAAGTATGACAGTGTAGGAAGGAGGGTGGAAGGTTGGTGGAATGGATGTTTGTATCTAAATTCTCATATGCTTAGAAAATCTCTGTGAACATACAAAGCAAAGCAAAAATGTAAGTGCCCTACTAGGTGTGTAGCCAGACCACTAGGCAGAATTCCATGTGTATTGTTCTTGTTACTGTATAATAACATTCTTTTTATTACTAGAGAGCAACTTCTTCGAGGGTCCGACTATATGATATTGTTGCAGTTTTTCCAAAGACAGAAAAACTTTTTCATGTAAGTAACAGATTAAGTAAAAGAAAATAGTGTTTATTATTTTTTAAAAGAAGTCTGATTATTATGCCTTTGTAGGTAATCTATTTTGCCCTGTCCAGAAACTTTTAGGATTTTTCACTTACAGTTCTGGAATTGCACAGGGTGTATTTAAGTGGCATGTTTTGTTCATCCTGGTAGACATTTGACGGGCTCAGATTTGAAAAACTCATCAAGATTTCTTCTCTTTATCTCTGCTTCGTTCATTCATTCATTCATTGGAAATTTCTATTAATAAATGTTGGTTCCTCTCTTGTAGTCCTAAAAAATCACTTCCGTTTCTGCCCTTCTGACTATTTGCTGCTGCCTTTTAGGGAAGAAAGGTATAAGTTCTACTGTGGCATGAAAGCTCCTACTTCTGTCTGATCTTTCTCCTTGGCATGCTCTGAGGTGTGGCCCATATGCCAGCATGATCATGTCAGGCATCAGTCTCCTAGAAATTTTCCAAAGTCAACCATCTGCTGATACTATATCCCCCTTTCTGGTCTGAGAGCCTTTATAAATTTAATTCCTTTTTTACTATTAAAATTGCCATTTCTGTGATTTTTTTTTCAGGAAGGAAAGTTGTATAACAGGTGTGCATATTTTTGTCAACATACTGGACTTTTTTTTTTTTTTTTTAATATATCTTTATTGATTTCAGAGTGAGGAAAGGAGAGGGAGAGAGAGAGAGATAGAAACATCAATGATGAGAGAGTCATTGATCGGCTGCCTCCTGCATGCCCCCGACTGGGGATTGAACCCACAACCTGGGCATGTGCCCTGACCAGGAATTGAATCCCGATCGCCTGGATCCTAGGTCAGCGCTCAACCGTTGAGCCATGCCCGGATGGGCAACATACTGGACATTTTAAATGATTATAGAAAAGGAAAAAAATCAGCTGTAATACCATTTTTCAGGAATATGTTTTACATTGTAAAATGAGGTATAAATACTTTTAGAAAGTTCTGAATGTTACCTTTAGGTTCTGAAAAGTATCTCTCTGCAAAAAAATATATCCATCAAAGGGATATTACAGGAAGAAAAAAAGTGCTGGTCTTACATGTTTTAATTTTACAGCATAGTTTATTTTTAAGCAAAATTTAGTTCCAAAATTATAGGAAGATTTTGCTTAAGTTTATCCAGTAGATGGAGCTGTTGACACAGGAGACTGATGTGTGGTAAATTCAATTTTCAAGTTATACTATCAATTCTTAAATGTGTATATTATTGCAGGGAAACAGCATAACTTACCTATGAATAACTTTGTTTTTAATGACTCCGTTCATAAAATGTTCAATTATAGTAATTTTCAATGTTGTTTTAGAAAAAGGGGTCAGTAGAAGGGAGTAGTTCTTAGTCATCAAAGAGCCCTGTGGAACTTTTTAAAATCAGGGCTATTCAGCCCCCACCACTGGAGATTCTGATCCAGTAGGTTTGGGATTGAGCCTGGGTACCTGTTTGTTTCAAGTTCCACAGGAGATTCTGATTCATTAATGGAACCATGGTGTACAGTATAAGGAGGACCTTGGGCAGTTTCCACATTTATTCAATAGTAACTTAGTTTTGTTATTAAATAACAACTCAGTTATGTTGTACACTAAAAGTTAGTAACATACCAATGTTTGTTGTACTACATTTTTTTAAAAATTGATTTAGAAAAGCATATAACTTATATTTCCACAGCTGTTTACTGGTGATTGGAGAAACAAACAGAACTCTTAAAACATGGCATTATGGCTGGAAGGCATACATTTATATTACCTTCCAAAGACTTACATATTTTTTACCTTTAATAAAACACTCCTGAGGGATAATTGGGACACATATTTGTTACTCTCCCCATTTTGTAGAAGAGAAAACTGAGGCTCAGGCTAAGCGATTTGCTCTAAATCTCAGATAGTATGTAACAGAGCTAGCTAGGACTTCTAGGTTTTAGAATACATTATAATTCCATACAGCAATTTTATCTTAATTGTTTATCTTATTAGTTACTTTTCTCAGACTATTAAAAAAAATAAATTTATAAAGCATGAACACATGCTTGATGATGGTGAGTGAAACAAGTATTCTGGAAGAGGGAAGAAAGTTATAAATGGTTCACACAGTGTTTGTTTGAACTTGGTTATACAGATGTACTCAAAAAGTTACTTAAAAACAGTTTTTAAAATTGGAACAACTTCTAACTGGTTCTCTAAGACTCAGCTGAAGTTAGCACTCCCCCTGTTTTCTACAGGAAATCAATTTAAATAAAGCTTTTTAAAGGATATCATGGTCTGGAATCAGGTCAAATGAAATGAGTTTGTCATTTAAGAGGTTGTATCCTGAATTGCCTTCATTTGTTTGGTTTGAAAGTTGATTAATTTAACAGGTGTAGATATGATATTCTAAAACTAAGTTAGGTCTCTAAGGTGAGTCATAAAAGCATACACACACATGTTCACAATTAGTAATATAAAATCTAGCCACCTTAAATAGCATTGTTTGCATGGGAAATAACATTCCCTTTTCCACAAGGAGTATCTGGAAGATATCTCAGATCAGCCCTTCCTCTGTATAGCTACCCCAGGAACAAAGCAAAGGTGAAAGGCTGTGTGGGGAGTCCAGTGGATGGGGCTTCTGAGGATGGGGGATGGGGTGGATTGTGGCAGAGAGTTTCAGAGAAGCTTTAGGAGCTTCCGAGTTAGTTACTCCCATTTAAGATTTAAAGTGACTGGACAGGGTGAGGTGAGTTCAGGTTATTCAGTCCAGGGTCTCCAGACAACTTAGGTTGTGCACCCTCTCAATTCAAAAAGTATTGAGCCCTCATCCCAATGTATGTATGTTTGTTTTCTTATAAATTATTTGCATACTTCATTATAACTGTGCTTTAAAAGGTAATACACACAAAACAAGTTTTAAGAGAGTGATTAAAAAATAAATGGAAATAAGAGTTCTGTTTGCTTCCTGCTTCCCAAGCCCATGCCTGCTACCCTTCAGAGGGCACTGTGTGGAGTGTGCTGCCAGTGCCTCGGGCTCTTGAGGAAAGCGGGTGTTTTTCAGGACAGTGCTTCTGGCTCCCCCAGCTTCAAAATTGCTGGGTATATTTGTGAAAATGAGGATGATTCAGACCTACTTCTGGATTTATCACTGGGAGGGTAGCCTGCTAATCTTTTTTTAACCCTCACCCTAGGCTGTTTTCCCATTGACTTTATATGGAGTGGAAGGGGGGGGAGCGGGGGCAGAGAGAGGGAGAAAGAGATATCAGTGTGAGAGAGAGGGAGATCACTGTGAGAGAGGCACATCGATTGGTTGTCTCCTGCATGGGCCCTGCGAGGGATCAAACCTGCAACCCAGGTACATGCCCTTGACCAGGAATCAAACCCGAGACTTTAGTGTGTGGGCCGACACTATAACCTCTGAGCCACGCCTGCCAGGGCAGTGATCTTCCTTTTCAATAAGTTTTTCAGGGGAGTTTTGTTTTTGTTTTTTATACACTGTCTCTGGGCATCTGTCTTTTCCTGGGGTGAACCTGACTCTCCCTTGCATAGTATTTATCATAAAATAGCAAGATGTGTTAATCTGACATCCATGAAGGGGATTTGGGGAGGACTATGAACCTCTATCCTCCTGTTTCCCTTATAAAATAAAAAATAAATGTGTATGTGTGCATTTTTAAGAATACACTTTTCTTAAATCCTCATGGGAGACCTTGGCCAAATAAAAGTTAAGAACAACTGATACGAATTCATACACAACCTGCCAAAACCACTATAAGATTCTTCACCATAAATATTGTTTGGACATAATATAACCTTTTTTTAATGATTTAGAAAGCATTTTATTATAATATGAACAACACTCTTAAAATTACCTAAATGTATCAATTGAACATTTGGATTAATGGAAAGCTAAATAGCAAAAGAGTTCAGTTTGAGACATTGTAAGTTTGAGGTGTCAGAAGGAACCAAGTGGAGCTGTCCTTTGTTACTGAACGTATATTATAATGCATGTACTTAAGCCAACTCAGGATACTTTTTAATTAGCCAGTTATATAGGAAAGGGGGGGAAAGGACCAATACATAAGTAAAAAGTGGCCTAATTCAGCTTTAGTCTGGGGAAGAATGTTTAGCATGCTTTTAAAAAAACGAATCAGCTTTTTTAGATGAAAAGTTATTTCTGTTCATGATAATAACTTCAAACAGTACAAATAGGTAAGCATTGAAAAGTACACTTTTCTCCCACCTAACAATTCCTCTCCCTTCTCTCCAGAGGCAACCACTGCTAATAGTTCTATGTATTTTCCCTCCCTCCCTCCCTCCCTCTCTCCTTCCTTCTATGTAACACCATGCTTTTTTCACCTAACAGTATATCTTGGAGATGGTTCCCTGATGTCAATTAGAGATATACTTAATTTCCTTTTAGGAGTCAGCATATTCCATTGTCTAAAGGGACTATGTATAATTTATGTAAGTAAAATTGATATATGTTTAATTGCATCTAGTCTTTTGTGACTGGTGTTCACAGTGTCTATCGTACTAATATCCTTGAGCATTTGTAGAGTACATAGCTGCAGAATATACTTCTAGAGTCTATAGAATACATTGTTATAGATGAAATTGATGGTGTGTGCACTTAAAATTTTGATACCTATTGCAAAAGTACCTTTTGAGACTGTACTGACTTAGGGATCCTGTGAGTGCCTGTTTTCATCCTGTGTCAGCAGTGTATTCCTGAACTTTTGATCTTAGCATTCTGATAGTTAAAAAATAGTGAACAGAAACTGAACTTGTATTATCTGCTATTCAGAGCTTCATCCGTTCTTATTGATTTTTAATGACTTTTCTGAGTTGGACAGCTGTAGCAATTGGGATGGGGCAGATTCTTAATGAGCCAAGTGTTTATTCCACAACAGCATTACTTCCCAGTCTTACTAAGTTACTAGGACTGTCTTAAAGCCAGGGAGCCTGTGGTGGGGGTAGGAGTGACCCCTCTTCCTTACTTTTGGTCCCTGCCACTGATGTTGGTATGTCAGCATAGACACCTGGCAGTTTGAATTTGTTCATCAGTTCTATATGTACCAGCATTGTGAGTGTGTCTTATTTTTAATAGCACAAAACAGCCAATTCTTATTATCACTGAAAATCAAATAATGGAAAAGTCAGAGCCGGCTATGCATCTTCTAGCAGTGTTTTTTTGGCCTATACTCTTAAACTACTAACCTTTCCCCAAATTTACTTTCCTTCCTTGGTTTTCCTTTTATCCTGATTTTCTTATCTGTTTATCTTGCTTGCAGCTTTTGTAAGCAGTTTCAAATCTCTTTGGGATGTAAATGCAGGGTATTGATCAACAAGTGATAGCAAAAATTAGAACAAAGGAGAGGGAAATTAAATGCTGAAAATGCATTCATTATGATTTGATTTCTAACAGCTCTGTTTTGACCATTTGTGTAGATTGTTTTTGTTAGTATTTGAACAAAATGCCACTGGTAGTATCATGTTAATGTTTCTTCAGGGGCTCAATAGACTGGTGGGAACCACAGGCCTGAGACAATTCCTAGCACAATAATAAATGATTTTTGGAAAGAGTAGAGCATTTGGCTTATTTTTTTCTTGGATTTCAGTGAGTTTTCCCTTTCTAGAACAGTCTAACCTTCCACAAACGAAGCCTCTCAGCAACCCATCCTTATGTAGCCAACCACAAGTCAGAGGGTCTCTAGCCCCTGTCTGTTAAAGGTCTGTGGACATATCACACTGCTTCAGCCAGGTTACAGTTGAACCGTACAAACCAAACCTGAAGGAATGGCTAACCATTGACTTTATATTTCAATAGGTGTATTTCAGGTGCATTTCAACACAGAGCTGTCATAACACCTTTGGAGTGAACAGTGTCTATTTGTATTTCTTTATATCAGACTTTACCTCATTCCCATTCCTAACATGTGCCAATTTTCCTGTTGGCTCCCCCCCGCTCCCGTTTTGTTTTTTATGTCTGGTCTTATTTATTACTCTTAGAAAAACTCATATTTGACTGGACTCGGAGGTAGAAGCTGTGTCTCTTGGCAATCTGTTCTGGGTGATTTCTTTGGCCTCCTTCATTCTCTTAGCCAAAAGTTTAGCCTATTTTGCAGCCTCTTCCTTATTTTTTTTATTACTCTGTTTCTTCAGAGTAGTGCATTGACATTTGTGTTGCAGGATGCTGAATCTTGGGTGCTTTGCCGAGGTTACTTACCTTTTTATATATAGGGACTTTCTCGCAACCTATTTGCACACATCATCTTCTTTTGAGAAATTGAAAAGTTTGTAGTTTGTGGATTTTGCCAGCTCTTTTGGTCTCTAGGCAACAAGGCATAGTCGTATCAGTGAGACCAGGAATATCTTTTTTTTATTTATTTATAATGACCAAGTTGAGAACACTGAGATTGGCATCCATAATGCAACCCCAAACAGACTTGTGCTCTCTCTCTCCAGTCCTCCTTGGTCTGTAACAGGAATGTCCCTTACTCAGGAGCAGGTGGACACGGCCGTGGGTCAAGGTTTCCCTGCTTCATGGGAAACCTTGTTTGCCATTCCCACCACTGATTTGAACCACATACCCCTTTCATTTTTTCTCCCAGAGCATCAGCAGCAACTTCTGTGGCCATAACTCTTCTCATAAAAGGTAGAAGTTTGTATTCATCATCCACTTCAATGTGTGTCTGGCAGACAGTGGCTGGGAAAGAGATGTTCAGCTTCATCCTAAAACAGCCAGCCGCCTCCGAGGAGCCACAAAAAAGAGCTTACCTGTTTTTTCTCCTTGACAGGTTGCTTGTACACACTTAGATGTGGATTTAGTCTGCATAACTGTAACAGAGAAACTACCATTTTACTTCAAAAGACCCCCTATTAATGTGGTAAGTGTTACACTTTCCATTCTGTACTTGAATCTGTAGAAACTTTAGATTAACTAACTGGACAAGGGGCAGAAGGAACCTGTGTTCTTAGACAAAAAAA